TTAATTTATGAACTAACTCTTACTAAATAACTGATTTTTAAAGTAATTAAGTATTTTCAAATATTAATGATATACCGCGAAACCACGGCATGGCTTCTAGATCCACCACAAATATCCTGATGTATCATTGTGAAAGTACAATAGCTTGTAGACGACTTTTGCTTAATGTTACAACTGTCATGGGGCTATTAAGCAATTGTTTTAAATCCCTACGACAGTTGTAGCCATGACGCAAGGATTACTTACGCAGGTTGCATGGGATGGTTGTAGGCAAAAGTTATGCCGTCTAAATCGGCCTTAATAGGCCTTATGCATGAAACCGCGGGTCACATGGTACAAAATCCTCCATACTGGATATCAAAAGAATGTAAACAGCCTCAAAAACAAAAGGAACACAGCCCGTCAAGCTTGACTTTTCTTTGTTTTGAACATCCTAGTGGGTATTTTGCCATCCAGTATGGAGGGTTTTGTACCATGTGACCTTTTCATGCAAAAGGCCTATTGGTGACGAAGTTCAACACGCATATCATGATAATGGGATGATTTAATCCATGAGATAAAGTTTTATAAGAAATATTTCTACTGTTTACCGGAATCTATCGCAAAAAGAGTGCATACGTTTTTATCATGTAAAATCTATAAATTTTATTGTCATGTATGGAGAGATTTAGGGAGATGTGCCCTTTTGACCAAATGCAACAGTAGGACCTTTACATGAGACAATTTCAGGAGCCAATGTTAGTGGAATCTATGGGAGGTGTAGCGCCTGATTATTTATTTGTCAGACTTGTAAATACACGAAAGGCTAAATAAAGGGGCTAAATTATTGATATCGATTCTCAGATTTTTATACAACAATGCGCAGTTTGGTGTCTCGTTTACTGCCCTCGGTTTGCCTGCCAGACTTCATGACCATACAGGTTGATCAGGATCGCGCAGCTAGATTTTATCCTTCCTATCGCATTTCAATGGTTGGAGAAGTTGCGGGTCATGTGACTTTAATGGGCCACGTGGTATATGTAATGTATACAGAACGAGAGAGCGTGTTGTATCGGGTGATAAAGATCCGAGCCGAAGGCGATTACATCACACCTGGACTATTGCAACTCATTACTGTTTGGTATTCCTACTTATCAACTAGAACGTCTTCAAAAAGTCCTCAATGCAGCTGCACGAGTTGTGTATTATATTCCTTAATTATATAGCCACATAATAATCCCAAATAGGTAAAAGCTGGATTTTTCGTTAATTTTGGAATCCTGTCCAATTAAGAAATTAGTCCAATTAAGAAATTAATTGGACAGGTTTTCAATTGGGTTTTTGTTAAAAGCTGTGGTTGGCTTTTACCTATTTGGGATCAATATGTGGCTATATAATTAATAGGTAATAAGACTCCATGCTGTCCAATTAAGAAATAATTAGACTCGAAAAATTCCTCTGACTGCCAAATTGACCTCGGCCACGGCCTCGTCCAATTTTTGGCAGTCCTCGAAATTTTCCTCGTCCAATTAAGATGGAGTCCTATTACATATAAAAATTTGACCATATTACTCCATCTCTGATAAATCTACACTGGCTTCCAGTAAAGGAAAGGATTGAGTTTAAAATTGCTCTACTGGTTTTTAAAGTTCTAAATGGTTTGTCCCCTGTTTACCTGACAAACCTACTTCAGGCGCAGCCAACGAGGAGATACAACCTAAGATCTGATGATAAAAAACTCTTGTCCATCCCAAGATCTAGCTCAAAATCAGGTGACCGTGCTTTCACCATAGCCGGATATAGAATATGGAACGCTTTACCACTAGATATCAGACTGTCAACAAATGACATGTCGAGTCGATTTAGGAGACCTAAAACTAAACATAAAGGAAAGTGCTATTGTTCGGGGGAGTGTTCCACAAAGTATTCAATAAAATGGTCCGCAACCTTATTATTTTGCGACCGGCAAAAAGACCGTGCGAACAAGAAAGCCAAAAATGGGACCACCAGTTTCAGTTTCAAAAACAGCGAGTCATTCCAGGATGCTGGCCTTGATGACATGAACGCCGAGTCGTTGATTTTTTGGATGGTCAAATTCATACAAGACGAGGCGCCAAGAAAAACAGAGAAGCTTATCCGACGATCGAGTAAATCGCGAGGAAACGAAACGGCATTGCTACAATATTGATTTTTAAATGTGTTTTAATTGTGTTTGATTGCACGCGAGTTTAGACATTTTGAATATTTTCAGGGGAGTGCGGGGCTGATTATTACTCAACGTTTTCCTGATACAGACCTAATTAATAAAACATTAGTTCTGTATCACTGATACAATTGTGCTCCCCTTTTCTCGCCCCCATTCTCTCTCTTTTGACTCCTCAAAAAGACAGGAAGCCCGTGATTCTAGTGATGACTGCGGAGGAGGCTAGTTCCGCGGTCCCTGACTGAACTTTAGTACATTCGCGAATACGTTCACGTGGTTTATGTCAACACGTAACAGTACGCTCACGTGTAACGTCAATGTCAACAATCGATTTAGGATTACCAATAACTTGCTTTCGTAAGGCGTACGAGATCCACGTTCGCTTGCCAACAACTGTTCAAATTATGAATACTGGAACAGATAGAGAAGAAATATTCTTGAAAGATCGAAGTGGAGAAGAAGAATGTGCTCAAACTGCCCTCGTCNTACCACTAGATATCAGACTGTCAACAAATGACATGTCGAGTCGATTTAGGAGACCTAAAACTAAACATAAAGGAAAGTGCTATTGTTCGGGGGAGTGTTCCACAAAGTATTCAATAAAATGGTCCGCAACCTTATTATTTTGCGACCGGCAAAAAGACCGTGCGAACAAGAAAGCCAAAAATGGGACCACCAGTTTCAGTTTCAAAAACAGCGAGTCATTCCAGGATGCTGGCCTTGATGACATGAACGCCGAGTCGTTGATTTTTTGGATGGTCAAATTCATACAAGACGAGGCGCCAAGAAAAACAGAGAAGCTTATCCGACGATCGAGTAAATCGCGAGGAAACGAAACGGCATTGCTACAATATTGATTTTTAAATGTGTTTTAATTGTGTTTGATTGCACGCGAGTTTAGACATTTTGAATATTTTCAGGGAAGTGCGGGGCTGATTATTACTCAACGTTTTCCTGATACAGACCTAATTAATAAAACATTAGTTCTGTATCACTGATACAATTGTGCTCCCCTTTTCTCGCCCCCATTCTCTCTCTTTTGACTCCTCAAAAAGACAGGAAGCCCGTGATTCTAGTGATGACTGCGGAGGAGGCTAGTTCCGCGGTCCCTGACTGAACTTTAGTACATTCGCGAATACGTTCACGTGGTTTATGTCAACACGTAACAGTACGCTCACGTGTAACGTCAATGTCAACAATCGATTTAGGATTACCAATAACTTGCTTTCGTAAGGCGTACGAGATCCAYGTTCGCTTGCCAACAACTGTTCAAATTATGAATACTGGAACAGATAGAGAAGAAATATTCTTGAAAGATCGAAGTGGAGAAGAAGAATGTGCTCAAACTGCCCTSGTCGACGAAGAATCCCCGCTGATAGCAGGACGATCAGGATAGCATGGAACATTTAAAGCAAGCGGCTTCATTGAGAGTGTGCGTCGACTTCGTGCCAACACAGCTACTATTTCATTGATCGCCAAACCTTCTCTTGATCGACGAGCATCTGCTTTGATGGCTGGATGGAATGTCAGTAATCTAATCCAAGGGACAGGGATACTCGGTGTACCGTATGGTGTACTGATGGGTGGCTGGACAGGGGTCGCAGCGATACTTGTGGTGGCTGTGATGTGTTGCTTTACTGGTAAAATACTGATTGAATGTCTGTATGAGACATCAAAGCGCACTGGACAGCGAAAAAGAGTCAG